ACTCATTCACCCCTGAAGACACATTTAAACTCTTCCAATTCAAAGGTTGGAATAGTTCATTATGAAATTTCAGAGGTGAATGAGTTATGTCTCTGTAACGTGACTTGTAATATGAACAGACAATTTCATCAGAAGTCTGGCTCCCAATTGTAAGCTTTATATTTAGCTCCACTGGAATGTAATCGCTATATTTTTGTATACCCTTGCTCTATAAATAGTGACTTACAGCGCAATCAATTCTACAAACACAGTCGGTCTGAGGTGACCATTCTAACGAGTAAACAAGATATTGATGTGGTGTATTGTATATACAGGTGTATCGTGTACACATATACACAAAGGGCTGGTCGTCGCAGGACAAATACGGTGGTAACGACCTAGCAATTAATTATCACGGGTAACAATGGGACAGACACCGATTTAATGTATGCAATCATGTGTTCATAATTCACTGCAATACCGTATTTGATCGCAAATAAGCACCCTCTCGCAAATAAGCCCCTCCCGACTTTGGTTAATGTCCTTGGAATAGGGTGGGTGCATGCAATTAAGCCCCTCCCTAATTTTGTCTCTCTCCCAAAAAAATGTATGTTAATTTTTGTCTCTGGACATAAACAAATAAGCTAACTAGATGCAAAACAACATAAACCCAAGTTAAAATACTACAAATACTTATGTCACTGAATTAGGTACAATAGTAAATAGCATGTAGTGACATGGATATGGTGACCCGTATGCTCTACTGTGATTCTGTATTGGTATTTTTTTTCTAAAGGATTATGTAATTATGTATTCATGAATGAATTAAGGATGAATATTATAACATATGATGTAAACATAAATAAAAATATCAAGATATCTAGATTGCTTAACTTAAACTGTTGGTGAAAGAACACCATACTTTCCTTTTTTAGCCAGTTGTGTATTTTGCAAGTTCTAAGGTAAAACGCAACATTTTTCTTGTACCAAATCTATTATGTATAATCTGAACTGAAGAAGCCAATTATAAATACATTTTAGAGTTATTACAGAGAGGTACAATCATTTTCAAATTGATAATTTTTTTCATATCTAATCTTTCTGTCAATGTCAGTTTGTTTTAAATTGTCATTCTGAAATTTGTATCAATCAGTACACAGTGTCAACAAAGCATGGCTTCCTAGATAAACTTACAAATGTACATCATTTTATGGAAGACTTTTACCCATAAAAACATGTCTCTTGCTTATAATGCTTTCAGCCTGCATGTTTTTGTATGATTTAGACAATGGTTTTGTGTTAATTCAGCCTTGCTGACTCAAATTTCTTAGGCTATTGGACTAGCTAGTATATGGCATGTATATATATGCTCAAATCTTGTAATGGCGCTAGCCAAACACCAGAGAGCCTGATCGTCGAACTATTTAAATATTTTACACCTCTGAATGTTAGTACTGTTTTTAAAAGAGTACTGACTGGTTTATCAATAAGAATTTATACAAAATGGTGTTTGATAAATTGAATTATCCAAATTGATAATAGAAAATCGGTTTAGAAACACCACACCACCATCAACTTGTGGTGAGTGTTATTAAACATTCGGTCTGCAAGTTGTTATTTTTACAACATTAACATCTAGAAATACATGATATGTAGTGTGTCCATAGATCAACACAGTGGTATATCCAAGACGGCCGACATTTGTGAACAGGGGGGATGCTTGCAAATAAGCCCCTTCCCTACTTTTGGTCATTTTTTTTTCACTGGGTGTGGGGGCTTATTTGCGGTCAACTACGGTATTACAAAACTTTTAACATGGCTATATCTGCAGATGTACAGTAACATCAAATTAACAATATGAATAATATCTTTATGCTAAAAATAACTACTACATTGGATTTAAAATTATACATCACATGTTACTTTGTCATATTTGTCATAACATAAGACCGGTACTGATAATGACCAATAATCAAAAATACATTTGGGTTTAGTTAAACACATCGGAGTCATTTTCAGGGCTTGTACCTGCCAAAATGAAAAAAGAATGTGTCATATATAGATACACTTACATGTATTGGTAAATAAAGAACGTCTAAGGAAACAAGAGGCCTAAGAGGTTTGTTTTATGAACCTAGATATTTTAGCAACCAGGGACTAATGGTTAGAAATGTAACTACACCTATGTCTGCAGCAAAAAACAATGGGTTGACAACCTTGACACATAAACAAAATACAATTAACGTAGTTCTTGTGTGCAGAATACAACTGTTGATGATGTTCATCCAATAGGATGAAATATGAATAAATAAAAGGTTGCTAGGTATAGGCCTAAAGAAGCACAGCAGTTATAACCTTCCCACAATGTATAAAAGATGAAAAATATATTGTCTTCTGCAAACAAGAGTCACAACTAGCAATCATTTTTTTTCATTCTGCAGCTGTCTGCTCCCGTTTTGGATAGGATAGATCGCCAAGGTTTGGCATATATATGCTACGACAAGGAAGTGTCAGTGACTCCATTGTAATGAGCCATAGTCAATGGATAGATGTGCTCAGGTAAAATTCCACCTGGACGACTGTGATTGGTTCAAACATCCCCGTGGAACCAACGCCAGCAGACAAATACGGACCATTATTGATTAATCCAACACATTATCACCTTATACCTTATGCATACTTTGGGGAGGGTCCGGATGCTGATACTAGTTCACATCATCATACAATATCCACCATGGTGAGGGTCTACAGGCGTGCGAGTGTATAACAGTTCCTGACAATCTATAGCTGTGGGTATCAATACAGTTCCCAATACATTAAATCTTCCCAGAGACATTTCTAGCACATTATCTGATCTCCGGACATTTAAGTGTGTAGATAATTCATCTTTAACACACAAATAACACATCATTTCTAGCACATTATCAGATTTGTGTTTATGTAGACAAGTCTCCTGTAGCACATCAATAAAATTGTTTACCAATGATCATTTCCAACACATCATCAGATCTTTTTACAGGTGTGAAACACATGTCAATAACTTTTCTTTCCAGGCCAGTTTTAATAAATTGTTTGTTTGCTGGAACCAGACTAAGGATTTTTTAGTTTGGACAAATTAGAGAAAAAAAATACAAGTTTGAAATCAAACCTTTCGTCTGCGTTTTGAATAGGTCGATAAGATATACATTATACACTGTCAAATGTAAACATTTCCAACATTACGATTAAAGCAGAGATATTTAATATAACAGATTGATGACTGATAAAATTTCCGAAATTTGAAAGAGAGAGATAAGATCAATTCTAAATTTGAAATTTCAATGAAATACTTCAGGTATGGTCTTTTTTTCCAGGTTAGTTGAGTTTAAGCACACAATCAAGGTCTCAGGGCTGATGATTACTAAAAGGACATATCGTATCAGATATGTTATCTGAATTTTGTTTTATGGCACGGTCAATTAAATGTTTGTTTTGTACAGATCTGCAACAAGTTATATCAAGCTTCTTTATGTCAATATCATTGAGCCCATATATTATTTTACAGCTTGATAAGAATTCAAAAATCAGACAAAATGAGTCCTATAAGCAAATACAGTTTGACACAACCTTCATTATTTCTGCTCTATTCCTTTAACTCATTCACCCCTGAAATTTCATAATGAGCCTTTCCAACCTTTGAATTGTTCAAGTGTGTCTTCAGGGGTAAATGTGTTAAAGATAGGAATAATCAGGGGGGAAATTGACATTATTTTGTATATAACTGCACTATGCATAAATAGTAGGATTCATATATCAAACTTATACATTTCATGAAGTTAATATCCTACCATTTTCATAATTTCATTTTCCTTATCCAATACACACTTGATTACCTCTTATAAAGCTGTTCAAAAAGATGCCTTCATGAACTTGAAACAAGTAGGTATTGATTTAAAATAGAACATTACTAATGAATTTGATAATTAATTGTTTAACAACCTCACAATAGCTAAGGTCATATGATCAAGGTGTCGACAGACAGTAGAGTCACGCATGGGATACTTCGATTAAAGTGTTATCTCACTGAAATGTCATAAGCTGGGCAGGTTCTGATATCCAGACAGCTGGCGAACCATGGATGCTTACAAAGACACTAGAAATTCCTCAGGTTACGCTCTCTTCATCTTTAGATTTACATGAGAATCACATGGCAGTGCAACGGTAAAATTAACAAACTTTCCAAAGGACAGGAAACAGCCAAGCAATTGTTCAAGTGTTTCTACCAGAAACCAATCATATAGCTAACTGTGTGCCTTCGATTTTGTTTTGACATATTCCAGGGTGCACAGATCTAGAGCAAGTAAATCTTCTGGAACTCTGAAGATGCAAATGTTGCAATGAGAGGCCACAGTTGCTAAGTGGTTAAGTTTCTGACATTCTGCTACCACTAGCCCTCCACCACTGGGTCGGGGGTTCGAGACTTTTGTGTGGCAGTCGCCAGGTACTGGCCGTAGGTCAGTGGTTTTTCTCTGGGAACTCCTGCTTTCCTCCAACACCAAACCCTGGCACGTCCTTAAATGACCAGAGCAGTTAACCCTTTCACCCCTAGGTAACTTTGGTACACTCTACCATACATTGATCTGGATGAGTCCATTATGGTCTACAGTGGTGAAAGGGTTAATAGGAAGTAACACACAAGGGCACAGAATCCACTTTGTCTCTTGCATCCTTGTTCCATTGAGGGAACAGAAGAAAACCTAACGGTTCTGCAGGAGGCACTATATTGGTTGCCTTGTACAATCATGCAGTGGGGATACATGGGGATACATCATGTTAAATCTTAAATTTGAATGTTCAATAAAGCAAACTCACCTGAACAATCAGGAGACTATTATCACTGATTGAACTATTATAATATCAGACTAATTTATTCTGCTGTTTTTAACTGAATTTCCCTTTAAGGTGTGTTGAGCTAAAAAAAGACATTCTCAAAAAAGCACAGGAAATGTGACACAAGTCACAGGTAAAGAAATGACACTTACCTATCATGTTCATGTAAATGACCTGGTTTTACCTGCAATTAGAATTCAAAGACGTTTCAAGAATGTTAGCATTCATCGATAGAACTATCCATTTATATGCAATGTATACAAAGTAATTGTTCAGTTTTCAAATTCAAAGACGTTTTATGAATACCGTCATTCAACGATAGAACTTTCCATTAATATGCATTTGTGGGCAAAGTCACGATTCATTTTTCAAAATCTAATCAACTATCTACAGATTTTTTCCTTACATGTCACATTTTCTGCATATTTGAACATTTGGTGCACAAAATCGTATAAATTTTGATTGATAACTTACTATATTGGACTGAAAGAACCATTATTCCAACATAATTTGCCTCTGAAGCTTTGAAATAGGCGTTTCCTGTTATTGTCCAACTTGAATTTCAATTTTTACAACAAATGATGCATGTGTAATGTTTACAGTACGTTGTTACAGTACGTTGTATCAATATTCAATAATACACTTTAAACACCTACAGAAAGAAGTAATATTGTTTGTGTTCAATTATTTTTCATACTATTTTAGATATAAAACTTATTTTTCAAAACTTAGTGCTTGCAACAAATTCAGTAAATGACACTTAACAGCCATCTTTCATCAAGGGTATCCAACATAACCATTTTAAGATAAACATTAAACTAATGTCATGGCAAAAAGAATTCTAAACTAAAGGCTATTTTCGAATTCTCCTTTATAACTAGGCTAAGAAAAGGGCCATAACTCAGACAAAAAGGGCTACAATGAATTTTCTTTTTCATAAGCATACAATTTAGTTTATAAATGACCACTGAGTTTCGTATTAAGATATTTATCAGGAGATCGAATAGCAGAAATTTCGAAAAACATTTGATGAAAATCAGAAAAGGGCCATAACTCCTAATGAAGTTGTTGCAAGGAACATTTAATCACAAGCATACAACTTCATATGATAATGGTCATAGATACCGAGTTTTATATTAATATATTGGTCAAGAACAAAAATAGCAGTACCTGGGACATTTTTTTATAATCAAAATTAGGAAGGGGCATAACTCTGATAAACAGTCAAAATGAGAAATAACCTTAAGGATCCCCCCTGCCCCACTGCACCCCCTTAACTTCCGTTTAGATATAACTGTAGCACAGTTGGGCTAGGACACGTCTGTTGATCAGGTATCTCATTCAGTTAGAGAGATAGCATAACAATCTGAAGTCCGGGGTCAGAACCCCAGTCTAGCGCGCTGAATTTCTCCCCTCAAAACACGTTTGTTTATTATATTTTGTTTATTTTCATCATAACTGGTTCGCATAAAAGTCCCACAGGTATGGCTTTTCTTGTCAGAAATGTTTTACCAAAGCTATCGTCACCCCCCCCCCCCAAAAAAAAGGTTTCTAACATTTTACAGTTGTTGGCACTGTACAAGGAAGGATCTTTAATCATGTTCATATTCATCTTATGATTGCCAACTGATTCTTCTCTATAATGATACATATATGGAAGTGGTTAGGGCTGCAATGATATACCGTATTGTATCATATCATCATAATTTCTTGTTATGTTGGCTTGATCGAGAGACTAACAGTACTTAAATTATCGATTAATTTTTATCAAACTCCTAAAAATTCCTTCACAAAGATGCGGTCCACTGTGCGGTCATACCCAAAAGTAGCTGTAGTAGAAATTATATAAAAATATATTTCGATAGTATTTACTATTGAGGTCTATGACCTTTTAAGCAGATATTTGTATCGTGATACGTATCTTTGCAGCCCTAGAAGTGGTATAGGGAAAAAGTGAATGTATTAATCAGAAACAAGGCCAACAACTGTTTCTCAGCTGACGGATACTTACATTTAAAGGTATGCCATTCAGGTCTCTTGTTCCACCTATGTATGTTAGATGGTTGTCTGTCTGTATAAATGCTGCAAGAACATAAAATAAAACATTTCAATCTAATCAGCCACCTGAGTATACAATAAATGATTATTATAAATATTGGTTAAGTCCAAAAAAATGATAGTCTGTTTAGGGTTGCAGGGGCAAAAAAAATAGGGTAGGTAGGTCATATTTTTTTTTATATATTTTTTTTTTTATATTTTTGGTCATGTGATTATGACCCTACTATTGTACAATGTATGTAAAACAAAGAATTACATAAACAAGGTTAATTTGGAGGCAAATTGTGCTCCATATGATGACATTTAGCGCCAACACGGAGCTGGAAGCCATTTTGAAAGGCAAGGAACCTTCTAAAATTCGAAAAACAGCGTGTTGTTTTTTTTTTCATCAAAAAGTTTTTCCATGCATGTGTACAGATTGTCATATATATATATACTGTATATGATCTCATGGTGACTGATTTTCTGTTTTATGTTTTGATACGTAAATTTTCTGATTTTCTCTGTTTTATGTTTTGATAGGTAAATTTTCGTGTTCTTGTCATGATAAAGAGGCGTGCAGATCGCCCTGAAAATTTGACAAATTTCTTTGTCTGCACTGTCGTTGTTACTATACTTTGCCCGTATGTGTTATGTGTATATGTAGGTATATATTGTATATAACAAGCTGTCACCAGTGAGGTCAATCTCCAACCACGACCTTTAGAGCCACCAGTACTGGTCTTTACAATAATTGGATTATATACCCGTACACGCATGCAGAAAATAATGACCAGATCCTGAGCTCAGAGCCGCTTACCTCGTGCTCAATTGTATTTCAACCTATTCTTGCTCTTTATAGAGTGCAGAAGAATACTTTCATCCGACACTAGTCTTACTATAAAAGTGTTACTTAGTAACTGCTAACACGATTGCACATAAATTAAATCCTATCATAGTTGTGAAAACTCATAAGAGCCCCACCCCTCCCTCCCCCAATTTCTAGCGAAGAACTGTAGTTCATCTAAACTGAAATTAAATGTAATTGTAATTTAGTCAAAAATGTTTTCGTATCACCATATAATGTTGTTAATTGGAATCGTACCCACGTCTATTTTGATTTGATCACTGTTACATTTAGGGATGTCACGCGGTTCAAAAGACCACGGTTCGGTTCATAATTTCCCTATTTCGGTTCTGTTCTGTATAAGCAGGTCGTAGTTGTTTGGTAGTAGCAAAGGCGTGTATTATTCGTGTCATATCTCGATCGATACATGCCCCCGACTCCATAGTCATGCAACCGCAATAATAAGTACGACTGTGTTCTTTAGGATTGTTCGAAATGGCAGCTTCGACTTGGATTTTCTCGTCGCAGGCGGTCTTGTGCACAAGACGGTAACTGAACACTGGATATATGTATTAACACAAATTAAACACTTCTCGGGATTTACCTCTTCAATCAATGTCGGGCTATACATCTAATATAACTTTGAAATCACCAGCTACGAACGAAACTGGATTCAACACATGGGCCCAGTGCAGAAAACATTGACAACACGAGGCCTTAATCTAATTAAAATGAGATCCTATGCATTGAAAAAGTTTTACACACGACTTTAACCCGATTTCGTAGCGGTATGTATATTATGTACGATATGGGCGGACATTGATGAGTTAGATCCCGTAAAGTATACCAATTTAATATTATTTTTTAATTTATGATTCTAGTCAGATTGTCAAAACATAAGGTGCATGAGTAACATGCATACATGCATACGAAACAAGAGGTAGGTTAGCACTAGCAACTTAGTTAATATGGAGACTGAAATGTTTGCAAGCCATGATGTAATAAAGGAAAGAACATGATTGTCCAGTAAGTACATAGATTGTGCAATGGAGATATTTGCATGATATAATGAAGGAAATATATATTACAAAGATATTTCAATAAGTCAACTTAAGACAGGACAGTTGTGGACATCGAAATACCTAATACAAGTGACAGATTCTTCGTGTTAGTATCTTTATACTCAATACCCTCAGAAGAGGACTAGTAGACAATTGTATATTACTGTTTAACAGTTTAAGTGTGTACATAACGAAGTTTGTTTACGTATTCTACTTGTGATTGTGTATATAAAATACATACATTACAAAGTTGCCTGAACCGAACCCCGACAACAAAAAATGATAACCGAACCGAAAAATTCCTGAACCGTGACATCCCAAGTTACATAGCTGCAGCTCAAAATTACTACATGCAGTAACTTCTGACTGAATCAATTATATACATACTTATAATTTACAATTAACAAAGAAAATAATAATGAAAACAGCTCTTCCCTACCTATTCCCTAACTATGGTATGATACTCTACATGATATTGATGTCTAAGTTTCCACAAAGAATTCAAAGACAATTATGATTCAGTTTATCACAATGGAATAACCATGACCAGTGTTCCCCAAAAAGATATGAAATTGATTGCTAATTTTTTTAAATGGCTGGTTGAGTATATTGACCTTTATAAAAATGGCTGGCTGAATTATATCAATATTTTTGCTCAATAAAATAGATGGTCCAAAGGTGATGAAAAGCAAGTTTTCTCTGCTGGCAACCAGCTTTTGTTGAGAATACTGATTACCATAATGTATTTTATAAACTTTTGATCATCTTTTATATATACCTGTCTGGAAGTATTGAAGAAGGGAGGATTAATACATATGTATATACATGCAGAAGAAATCCTGTGGACTGAGTCCAAAGGACTATTTTCAGCAATTATTTTAGTCAATGGTAAAAATAGAACGAGCAAGTCTATGTAAAATTACAAAAGTAAACGGAAAAATGGCGGGATAATTTCCAGTTTGAAGGGTCACAGTTCTATGGTGCCTCCAGGATTATCCTTGAGTTATGTACAGGAGATTTAAGTCACATATATGTATCCAATAGTAGAACTTTTTCATGAAAGTAACCACTGAAACCAGAGTGTAGGAGGGTACATTAACACGATTTATATATATTAAAATATTTTGTTACCCATCAATATTAATATGATTAAAACGTTGATATGCGTACGTATGACAACTTAGAACTCAGTACACCATGTCTGCGTGTTGTATTTTTATAAACTCCAGCGATTTTGATGTAATGACTCCATTAGGGTGTGAAATAAGTATGTTTATATGGCCTGATATCCGATACAAAAATTATTTTGGCAAGACCCTGCATTTATGTGCAACCAATCGGTTATGGAAGAATTAACTAACATTTTACATCAACTATTAAAAAAATTCTTTAGTCCATTTCCACTTCCGGCACATACATTTTTTACCTTGCCTAAAACCTTATAATTTATGCACCTAAAATCAGTTTTACAAATTAACCTATCCGAATTCTAATACCTTTCGCATACATCCTATAGATAAAGATTAAGACAAGCACATTCAGATAAATGAAATCAACGTTTATATGTAGATACCACCATGAACATGTCAAATTAGAAATAATATGATTTTGTTAAACATTCTCTACCTCACTGTAACCTTTTTTGTTTATATTATTCCCCAAACATTAAAATACCTAAAACATCGTCATTCCTATGTTTGGCCCATTGCATTTAGAACCTGTTTACTTCCAATTGATTATAACTATATACATGTATTAACATAACACAGTTCATTTCAGTCAATATTTGTCAGTGGTCTGGTAGCTAATAGATGAAGCCTGTCTATAATGGACTCATAAAAGTATGAATAAAAAATTGATGGCTCATATTTATAAAAGTACCCTTAAGAAGAACATGAACTTGAACTTGAACCAGTGAATCAATAAATATATTACATACATATAGCTTGTGTATACATACCAGCAATTTTGTACGATTGTTCCATTTTAATTGAACAATAGCAAAGCCTATGGCTATTATTAAGACACTGATAAAACTGAAAATAATGGCAATGAACATTTTTATTTGTAGTGTTGCTGGATTACCAGTTTGTTAAATGATAATAAATAATAACTATTAATTAGTTTATATTTTATTCTGATATGTATCAAAAGCACATAACATGCACCAGAGTCTGAAAATATATTTTGTAGATGCAAAACATACTATTTTGCTAAGGATGGCTTAAATGGAACAGCAATTCTTATTTTTTTTCATTGATACAATTATTTCAAAGCTTTGTACTTGCAATTGATTAGTTGACAGATTAATTACTTTTAACTCATTCACCCCTGAAGTTTCATAATGAACTTTTCCAACCTTTGAATTGGAAGAGATTAAATGTGTCTTCAGGGGTGAATGAGTTATGGTATTTTGCATTTCCATCATAGGGTTCTTTTGCTTCATTCATGATGACAAATGTCTTTATAATTGACCTTAGAAATTGGTAAACAAAACCTAGAACTCAACACATTTTTGAATTATGTACATATGAAAACAACATTAATCACTTGTAATAAGGACTTTTCATGTATTCACTCTATGTCTTTAACCCATTAACCCCTTCATGTTTAAACTAGACTACACAGTCTTTAATTTGGTAAGGTCCAAATGAGACTTTAGAGGTGAATGGGTATAATTAAATGATTCCGGATTTCAGTGAATTTTGAAAAGCAGAAATTTTGAGTCAATCCTAGATCCATATTATCCCGGAAACCATTTGAATGTTCATCAAAGTCCAGTGGCTGTTCGTTTATGCGGAGCAACCGGTTTGTCCGTTTTTAAATGTAACATTTTTGGGTATAAATCTTGATGGACCTGCAAATTTTTATGTCTTGCAAGGCTTTGTTAACGCTTGCCTGAAAGCAGCATCAGATGACTAGGTACGATCTTATTTCATAAACAAACAACTCTGGCCCAATTGGTTCAACCGTTTGGATAGTGACAAATGAAGGTGGCTAAGGACACATTTTGTTCTCGATCTATCACTTTCTTTCAACTATTATATGTAATTGGCTGAAATCATGTGTGACACTGTAAACAATTTGCTCTTTTGTAGACATAGAATACATTTACATGTGGGTATAATTACATCCTCATTGCTAACTTATCCAGCACTTACATATAAAGGTTGCAAGATTTGGATAGTTTTCTATGATTATCAATCATGACAAATTAACTGTTCACACTACTGAATATTATTAAGTAAACAAGGTGCATTACTTCCTCATATGGTAAATGCACTGCCTTACTTTGATATATGTTTTACGTAGACCTATCTGTAAAATAAAAGAGGGGTTTCTAGAATTTTCAACAACAGTTCAATATTTGTTCATAGGTGGGATCACTGAAATAGTTTTACATAACTTTTGTCTACTTGTTTATTTATATTTCTTAAATTCAAAATTATCTATAGACCAGAAAGACATACAAAACTGCTAGGACCACTATATGTTTAAAAGATTAAAATATATAAATCAGAAAGACTGGTTAGTATACCTCAATATACACGACGTAGAATCAGTGCTAACAAATCATAACATTTGAATACACAGGTGTGTGTTTAAACACCTTCAAAAGATTCATTACAACTCAAGGATTTGAAAGGATGCTTATTCAATATTCACAACAACAACCTACGATCAATATATCTGTTGAAGCCAAAACATTTCAGGAGAATATATATATGTATACCAGATAACTCGACCAGTGACTTTTGTAGCATTTTTTTTTTCAGGCGAGTCCTGAACATCTTTTTCAAAATTCTGACGAGTCCCATTACTTAGAGATAAAAATTTACCGGTAGTTAGCAAGTCACTCAGGGAATGAGTTAGTCCTGGACTCTCAAATATCTTAGGCCTCAAATTTAAAACCACTATCAACATTAATTAATGCCACCCTCTTTGAAAAAGGAAGCAACAAGATGTATATACTACTATATCAACTTATTTTGGGTGAATAAAGAAAACTGAACGTATTTAGGTAATATCATATATTCTTTTATGATATATATGTCAATATGATTGCCCAGGACTACTTGGGAAGTTGGGTCACAAATGTAAAGAGAAAAAAATTGTGTTTCCGCTAACCCTACCTACCTAATTGTTCACAATACATACTAATTTAAAAAGAAGAACTTATTATGATCAATATTTCACAGAGATATCAGACACTGGCCATGGAGTCCAATTAAATTTGATCCATAAATGGATGTCGTCCATGTAAAACAATAATAATTGTAAACTTTATGTATTAGTCTGATGGGAAGAGATCCTTTATTAACTCTTTTGCTGGATACACACATTTTATGAAACAGGAAGAAGTAACAAAATATAGCTGCATCTACGGAAAAGTTACATACGCTGCACTTATCCATGCATAGTATGTGTTGTTATACCGTACATGACCTACAAACTGTCACATACAAGGAAGTTTGGACATATTAACAATCAACAAGGGTTTAATACATTTTACACAGGATAGAATTTGGGCTAATGGGTCTATTTCTAGGTAGCTAGACCTACATAAGTTAATATTCTGACTTCAAATCTTTATGATACAGCCTCTAATACAGTGTAATGTCAAAACTACATGTACATAGAAGACCTTATTGTACACACCCATCATTGATATTATAAAACAACCAAGCATATATATATATACATACTTGACTGTAGTGAAATAAATTGATAAATGAACAAAAAGGCTTGGTGTATTTCATTTCTACATAAAGATTATTTAACCATGACCAAACATCACAGCATCCTGGGAGAAAGGGTCTGTTACAAGGTAGTGGGGTATATGTTACTGTCAAGATTAACATATAGGTAGATGACTTGATGTGTTGCTATAGGGAAGTGTGATGGCCACAGATAGTAACAAATACGTAGTACAGGTATCAATCTGTTCACAGTGTGGGATGTAATGAGTAAATTACTGATGTTGACCTAAATCTGCCTGATAGTACACCACGACAGGTTATCATATCACAATGATAAATGTGTCCTATATTTGTACGCTCGTAACGCTGGAAACACATAAATCTTGTAAATCCCATTGCACCATTATGATTATACGGTCACATGTAGCAAACATTTAAACCAACACCTATGATTTAAATCCACAAACACAGTCAAAATGCAAATGTAATGTAGATCTCATCAACGATTCATTTGTTTGTAAACAGTTCCATGTTACAGTACAGAGGTGACACTTGTGTACCGTCAATTCAACTGGAAATTTGACAAATCAAACGATATACGAGAAAAGAAATATACTGTACCTTGATTGTGACTTTCTACTGCTGTCGTATGTGGGAAATAATTCTGAATACTGTGAAATAATAATATAAAATGAAACCATTCTACTGACATCTTTTCTCTGTGACAAGCTACCCGCGCCATGCTGTTTCCACTGAATCACAAGAAATTTTTCATTTTCCTGACAGGTGAAAAATATAAACATCAGATTTTGAAGATTGCTGCATATCTTTAAAATTAAGGTTATAAATAGCAAGAGCGTCTGACACAGTTATAATCAGTAGGTGATAGAAATAAGTGTTTGCTATGTAATTAAATATTTTGTGCGAAACTAAATGTACCAGCTTTACTTGATATAGGAATTGTGAGGACGTGATTGGTTGTAACTTGGTAACCCTATATTGACCCATTTCCGTTTATAATATGCATCGCGCACCTGAGTTTCTGATTCAATGATGAGAAAAAAGACAATATTTTGCAAGAATGAAATATCCGTCAAGTACTAACACCAAAATATCAACACGTATTAATGGATACGGTAAATAATCTTATCATAGATTGACCAATTGAAATTTGCCGTGTATGTGTGTTCCAACGACTGCGCCAACTGTCAGTTCATTGTTTACTTCCGGTTTATGCCACATGTGTCATTCTCAAAAATATCATTTTAGTTTTAAGTTACACGTGTTGTCTAGTCTGTTTTACGCGGAATTGTCTTGGTAAGTTTGTTTCTCTGTTTATGCATAACCGGAATCTTTGTGCATTCCATCATTATGTAGCTGTGATTGACCCCAAACATCTACTGTACAGTACACTTCCCAGTTCAACAGTCCAGTGTTGATGTATAAAAGATTAATTAATTAGATTGCCTTACAAGCGTCAGCTGTAGGGAATTTCCATTTAGCCCAGCGGGTAGAGCATTAGGCTTGAGAGCCAATGGTCGCAGGTTCGAGCCCCAGCGACAGCACTATCTTTATCACTATTCCTTGTCCTTTTACAGACACACATGGACACATCACTGCTTCTGATGCAAACAGCTTGATGTACTAATGACCAACCTTGTTCAAAATTATCCATATCAAATAAAAAAAAAAGTGCTTCTAAAGAAAACATTTTAGTCTATGTATGTATTTAAGCTAAATAAATCGAAATGAGAAAAAAGATTCAACAAATAACCAAAATTCCATGGGTGTGATGAAAATAAATTGTTGATTTGATGATGTTAACATTCATCAAAAACACTATCCCATCAACATCTTAAAAGAGGTGAGGGCTGAAAGATTCAATGTCATTGGAATATTACATGTTAGTCAGTTGATGTGGTATGAATAAATTAAAATATATATCATTATGTGTCAACTGATAAACAGCTCTGATAAGGTATTTATTCATAAAAGAGAACTCACAGTGAGACCATGCAAATTATGCTGAAGACACAGGTAAATAACTTCTTTTGACATGTTGGTGTAACACAGTGACATCACCTGTTGCACTGGTACATATACCTATCTCATATGTACTTACAGGTAATTTGACCTCAAGCACTTGTATACCTGTTACTAATTAAGTTTCAGGTAGATCACAGGCAACTCCCTGCTGTGTCACAGTGAGTGTAACACTACAGGTAAGATTACTGATAAACACTGGTTGCCTTGGTATTGTTAATTACACAACAGTATGACTTCGTAAACTCATTCACCCTGAGGACACATTTGAGCTCTTCTATTCAATTCAAGTTTATTCCGGGGGCCTTACAACCAATATGTATGCATAAATATAATAATAATATTACATACATATTTGGAGAGTGATCTCTCATGACATGCATACAGAACACAGAAAATATTGATGAAATGAGGTTAAAATTAAAAAATAATTTCATTTTTTGACTTTTGACCAGTTTTGAACATTTTTACTAACAAATCTTCAAAGACGATACATTTTTAAACAGGCGAGAATAGGGTGGCTTTGACACCATCTCTGGTTCACAATTTTGGTGATGCATATCTGTATCTAAAGAAGAAAATTGTTGGAATTGAGCCAATTTTATCCATCATCTATAAGGAAAATTAGGAAATTATTTGGTATTCAATATAAGCAATATATATATATATAATCTGTATAAAGAAACAACAAAAAAACCAGAATGGGACTAAAGACAGGGAAAGTAACTGGACATATTTATTTCTGTATAAATTAAGAGTTCAACAGTACATATACAGGTACGTACCAAAATAACAAATAAATAAAAAAGCTGAAACTTTTTTTGATTCAATGTTTTTAATCAAAAGATATTTTTTAAACTGATTCATTGATAAAATTTGATATTAAATTACATATTTATACAGGTGATTTGTATTTTTTTGAATACATGTGCAATATAAGTAGTGCTACTTCATATCACAGACTGATCGACCCATATACATAACCATCCGCATCACACCTCAAAAGTTTTTGATCTTGTACTTAAACATTTACAGTGTGTATGTAGAATTTAATGAGAAGTTTATAATGTGATATTAGCATATCCTATCCCATATCAAGCCTCGACCTTTATGAGCCCTCTGGTCTATGAATGGCCCCTCAGGTTGATATAGAGGTTTTTGGTCTGTATGGTAATACAGTTCTGTAGTAAAGAAATGAGTGATGTGCAATTGGTTTAAAATCATTATCAAAAATTGATTTGCAATAGGAACTAAGAACCGATAGATGATCCATTGCATTATCAGTTATATTTTTTTATTAGACTGAATACCCAAATAAAGTATAACAACGCTGTTGTTACACCAATAGGCAGTGTTGTTACTAACATAAGTATTCCTTTTATGATAACACAACTACAACCAACGTTTACACACTTTTGATTTTTTTACCCTACATTACCATCAATCATATAATAAAAAAATAAAAAAAATTCATTGCAAACTACAATGAATTAACATTTGACACTAAAGTTCATTAATGAACCAATTATATCAATTATGGATTATGGATTTTATATTTGATAATCGGAATCGGAAAGGGCAAACCATCACTGAGGAAAACAACTGGTTGGCGTATCTAGCGTTGATAATTCAGATTTATTATTAAAATATTCATAAAACAAAATTAGGATTTACGATCATTTGATAGACATAACAGTAATAAGAGTATTCAAAATTCTAAAACTATTGTCACTAAGTCTTCAGAAGGGGAGACACCATCCTTGATATCCAGGGGTTACACTCACTTTTGCTCTCTACACCCCTGGAATATGTCATAGCAAAATTGAAGGCACGCTGCTAGCTATTTGATTGGTGTCCGGTAAGAAAACCTGACCAATCACTAGGCTGATAAAGGTTTTTTTGAAGATTACAGAGTAAAAACCTATATCAGCCTAGTGATTGGTCAGGTTTTGAGGTTCTGAGAGAAGCGGCCCCAGACTTCAAAGCCAGTTATTTTTACCGTTAGGCAAACACAAGATGTACATCAAAGGATCAAACTAGTCTTCTCAACTCATTCACAACTTGGTGCACACTTATCCTTCGATTTTGCAATGACATATTCGAGCAGGGGTGTGGAGAGCGGAGTGAGCGTAACCCCTGGATATCGAGTATGGGGAGAAACTTACATGTTACTTTCTCCTCTTTAGAAGAAGCAAAATGGAGTTAACTTTAATTCACAATGGACTTTCGCCCTTGATTCAATAAAGGAAGTCAGGAGGCTAAAATATTGGGACTGGGAGTGAAACTTGTTTTCATGATTGATTTTTTTCTATGGAAATCAATTGTTGTACATGTATTTTTTCAAATATCAAAATTTACAGCTCATTTTGTTTTTTTAAAACAAAATTTATAGTAAATTAAGACTACCAGACAACAGACGTTCTTTGTATAGTACATGTTATGCCATTGTATGGTATATATTGTATAAATGTACTGATATTTGAATGCAGAAAAAACAGTTAAAAATATCTCAAGTATAGTTTGTCAATATTTTTTACAATGTTTTCTCTTGTGCAATTCATTGTTATGCATTGATTATTCACCACTTTGCTCCGAAAAAGTTTTTGTACTGCAAATAATAAACACCATGTCTTGAACTCTGCAAACATATTTTGTATGTGCCGGCCCTAAAATGTCAATATATTTACATACAGTTGACTTGAACAACACAGACATGTCAAAGACGCTTTTGTTCTACAGAGCTGTTGCTTGATAGAAAATAGCTGTTAAATTTATTTAGAATATATATATATATATATGTGTTTTTTTGCTATTGACATTGATATTTTTCAATGGGTTCTACTTTTAGATGGGTTCCTTTAAGTGCATTGAGATCATATATATATGCATTTGACCCAATAAACACCTCATTGCAGAACTTTCGAAAAAAAATCGAGGAAACAGCTATAATAGATTTTTTTTTTAAATAAGGAAATACCCAAGTATCGTATTCACTGTAATTATATACGTTTGACCCAATAAATGCCTGATTGTAGAACTTTCTAAAATTGGCAAAGAAACAGCTACAGGTGTATAATATTTCAAAACATAAAGAAATAATTACAATATTCATCGTAATTAGTACCTGGGATTCTTAAAAAAATGGTTTAAACAGGATGTTTATTATGATAAAAAAATGTGAGTTATGATAAAAGACGTCTTGCAACTTCAACCAGTTGTTATCACCGAATTTGTAGGTTATTATAACATCAACATGCCAGTGTGGTTGGAAGTTTGAAAATTAAAATTTTCATCTGCTTTACAGGAAGTCTAGCAATGATCACCATACATAAATCTCTGCTTTAATGTGTAAGTTCTATTAATCACTGAAACGGGCCTGGACAGGACTAGGGTGTGTGTGTGTCTATATAGATTCAATTCACTTGAAAAAGAAGAAAGAGTAATAATTACAACAAATACGTTAGATTTTGGTCAAGGAATGGGCAGCTTCGACCAGAAAAAGGGTGGAAGTGCTTTTAAGTGATAGGGAGGTTTTAGGTCAAATACAGTTTATTTATAATTTTTTAATTTATTCAAAAAAGATTGAACATTTATACCTGGAAGTTTGTTCATAATGTTCTATTGTTATTGAAATTTTCACCCTGAATAAGGTGCATATCCATTTATAATTTACTTTGAAAAGACTTTGAAGGTTACTATCCATTCAACTCTGAATAAACATAAACATATATCTTTATATCATTTGAGGTCAAAATTAAATGTCTTGTACGTTTTTCAAGAATTTCGTTTTGTTGAAGTATATATACATATTAATGAGGGTTTTGTATCTGGTCTAATGATATTTATATATAATATTCAACACAAAAAGTAAATAGTAAAAACAAAAGAATAAAATATTTATAATTCATTTCAAAACTATGAATGACTGTGATAAATGGCTTTTGAAGAAATCTTGTGCTATAAATAGCTCATAAATCATCTCCCCTTAATAAACATGCTCTTTATATTGCAATGAAATTGCATAACATCAATTTATCCATTTATGGCCCCGTTATTTGTTGTTTGCATTTTTGTCTCGGTTTGGAAGCTGACTTCTTGAAGAAAAGCAAACCAAAAAACATGTATAAGCACTTTCAATCATTAGAGTTATCAATATGTTTGATGCATATAGTGAAAATATAGGATAAAAAAAAAGGATGCTAACCGACCAAACTTTTGAAGAAGGAAATGGTTGAGCAATGGGAACTTTGATGCTAACCATAATTTTGGGCTAATTAGCTCTGAATTGATAAAAATATGGTGCACAGTGTTCTTTTTGCAATTTGATTAAGTTAAATTTTGATTAATGTGTTTCAGACAGTTCCAGAGGGCGTGATAGAAAGAACCTACTACCTCAGGATAAATAAAAACTTTGAATCTCCATGGTGACAGAGTGGCTTGGAAATGCCTGGACGGCACTGTATTTCTTCCTCGTGAGACCAATGTGGAAGTGGGTCCTTCGCAAGTATACGGGTCGATGTGAACTTCTGCGCATATGTTACCAGTATGACGAGGGTGCAAAGCGCACAAAGAGCATCGGTAAGAACCGTCTTGTTGATCAATACTCTTAAAAAAATAACTTATTTTCACAATACACTGATTTAAATTAGCATGGAAAATAAGCATTGATTAAGTTAGAAAAGTTAATAAGCATCAACTTATTAGCAATAAGGATGGTCCTTCTCCAATCATATCAGCTGTATTGTCATATGATTCTTCCACACATCATGTGACAGAAATTTTAGTTTGTCAGTCTACCAACTACTATCAGAGGAACATTTTAAACTTTGACGAGAAATCGATAAACAGTCTAAAAAACTGAATATCAAATAAGCCTTGTCAACAGCAGTAATGAAATGAGTAAATATAGGCACTTTATCAGAATGAAGCAACGTTAAAACTCTTTTCAAAACTTCACTGATTGTCTCTGAGAATCACCTCTCTACGAACCCCTACGTCAGTCGTCAGAGTTTTAACCTTAGTAAGAAGGTGAAAGCAAAAGAATGATTACATACCTTGAAGGTGTGACAAGCAATTGTCAATCCCCTGTGCAAGATTCTTGACTGTCAAATCCTTAGCAAAGACTTGGGTTGTCATTTTACCTGTCTGAGGTTGGAAAGATTACTTTTTCTCCTACCCTGGACAGGTGTTTCCACACTTAAACCTGTGTGAGATTATAAGACTCTTTCATGCTCAGGGGTGTAGGATAGGGAAATTCCACTTGAGGGTTTTTCAAATTTGGTAAAACCTGAGACTTTGCTGAGGGTTTTGCCAAATTTGAAAAGTCCTGAGGGTGGAATTTCCCTATCCTACACCCTTGGACATGAAAGAGTATTTTTCTCTCATTCCAACCACCAGAATAAGCTCAGAAACCATGAAAATACGTTTGGACTGGCCACCATTTTGAAAAATATCAATTACCCCTCTGAACGAATCAGCCAGCCGGATTTAGCATATCCCATACTGGCAAACAGAGTTTGCGCAGGTAAATTAATCACATCTTTCTAATGTGTAATGGGGGGGGGGGGGATTCCCCTATTCATAACAATAGTATGATGTCACCTCAACAATACAATGACGTCAACTCAACAATACAATAAGGTCAACTCAACAATACGTAAACGTCACATCAATCCTGAATTTAGCATGTAAGATACGGTGTGTTTGGCGACTTAAGAATCTTCCCCCTCGGGTTGAGATTCCCCTATCTGAACCCAAAGGGGGTGAGATATTCTATTAGCCATTTTAGCTCAGGATAAAATGGAAGTGGCACTAAATGTAAATTAAGATATGACATTTGGTTAGACTTTTAGCTGTTGTTTAAATACTGGAAGTCAAACAATCATTGACCTTCATTGGCTTCATACTGTAAAAGAGGATATTTTCACTGGGTCAAAATGCTCACATTCTTTGAGTTGAGTTAATAAGCAAGGAAGTATCCAAACACAAATATGTCTAGACATGAAGAATATATAGAATATTTCAGAATCAGTGCCATTGCGAGAATTTCCACATCGAGCAGTTTAAAGAGTCAAAGTGCGAACATTTCATCACATGAAAATTTCCACTTTTCAGTTTGTGGATCCGTCTTTACACCAGTATATTAACTCATTCACCCATGAACACATATTTGAACTCTTCCAGTTCAAAGGTTGGAATCATTCAATATGAAATTTCAGGGGTGAATGATTTAAATATAGGTTGCTGTGACCTGCACTTTTGCTTCATCGGTTAATGTTTGGTTGTTATTGAGAGTGTAGCTCCAGTAGCAAATAAAGCAGGAAGAAAGGTTTCATTTCTGTTATTTTCTAGTTTCAGTTACCACACTTAACAGACTAGTACTGAGTTTTGATTTGTTTCCCCAGAGAGATCGCTGAAGCTGTCTAGGGTGACCTACCTGAAGGAGTTGTACAAGTCGGGCAACATCCCAGATACTGCAGCTGCAGCTCAGGAGGTGATGAAGATAAAGGCCATTGTACAGGAGGTTCATCCTAGGTAACGCTAAGTTTTTAATTTGTATATAACATCCTGAGGTCTACCCCAGGTATCCCTAGGCCTTATAACATGAAGAAAATACTATAAACCTGGAAATTTTCTTCGCTGTGGTTTCGTCTTTTTGGGTTTTTGTAAAGATTACGAATTTATAATGACAGCATAATTAATATATTCAGCACACAGCATATCATTTATAGTAAAAATATGTGCAGGCTGACAGTAACACTGGGCTAATATGGATATTACCAGTTTAAGGCAAAAATTTGATTCGGCGAAATTTCCTGGTATACAGTATAACATCTGGAGGTTAATTCAACAGAAAATATTTAATCTGAATTCTATCTTTAACTTGTACATCGTTATTCATATAACACAACCGGGTTAAGTGTTTATGCAAGACATTTCTATGACAAGTACAGTATGTATTTTGCTGGTTTGCACCAAGGTTACATTATTGTATCCGAGTTGAAACGGTTCAGGTGACACAGAAATATTCCACGATAAACGAACGCACTTGGACCGAATATTCCTGGGGTCAGCCTCGGTTCAGATCAAAGCCTGTCGTTTTCTTTCTAGGTTCAACCGTTTCAACTGGTTGAACCGGATATCGCAAAAGGGGGCCCAAGAGTGAAAAATATGTATTGTAAATTACTTGTTTGCCCAAGGGAGGAAATCCTCAGGAGTTGGCACAAACTTTTCAGTTTACAGAGAAATTTGGCTAGTAGGTGAGTTAAAGATATCAAAATCTCCACTACAATACAATTATTTGTTCAATATCTTATTAAGAAATTAAAAGAAGAAACTTTTGCATTCATCTGTAGGTCTCCATAAGATTATGCATATTGCTGATGATGGATTGTTATCCAAAACTATTCATTGAATCGTTTTGTTCTTTGTGTCTCAGGTTTATGGACTGTTTCCAAGTCTGCCTGTGTCAGATTTGTGGATACAAAAAACTCAAGAATGACGTCGACACAATCAGGAGAGTGTCATATTCAGCTGAAAATTCGGACCATGAAAAGATACTCCTGGAGGTATGAATACATAAAGTTATGTCTCTGTGTTAGTTTTGTGTCTGTCTATCTGTCTAATCAGTACTGGGCCTGATATCACTGATAATATGAAGGCATTTGGACCCTTTCACCATTATGTAACTTTAGTAGACTCTACCATACATTGATATAGATTAGTCCATTATGGTTTAGAGTGGTGAAAGGTTAACGCACCTTCATTACCTAGGGGATTGAAGGGTGGGGCCAAGAATAATTATTTTGGGATATTGCTTTTTGTGATTTTTCCTCTGGAAAATATAGATGGAAAGCAGTCATATTTGGTTAGACCCTTCTTTATATGGTGTTGATTCAAAAATGTACAAACAGAGCTGCCAACCCTCCCATAAAGTTGAGAGAATTGAATGCAATTTTAGAATGGTAAAAATCTATACCCTATCACCATGCTGCTAGGAGTTTTCTTTGGTCCAGCCCTGCCCCTGATGACTTTATCACTGGGTAATAGCTTGGAGATCGTTAAGAACATGTCCCTAAAACCATTGAAGTGCTCGCTGAGCATGAAGAGATGATGTGTTTTGCAATAGTCTTTGCAAAAGTTTTGTCACAACTGCTAACATTCTCAGGTAAGTGGTACAGACCCACTGAACCTCTTGTTATAATTCACCTGTCTCCTTTCTTTTTCATTATTTTAAATGTATATTAACCTGTGCTATTTTGGTTTTTGGTTTTTTTGTCGGAAAGTTGTGGGATAACATGATGCCAGGTGTAAAACTCGAGACAAGGATCTGCAACCAATGGAAGGAGCTTGGTTTCCAAGGAGAAGACCCGAAGACCGACTTTCGAGGCATGGGAGTTCTGGGACTCTACCAGCTATTGTAAGTTTGGTCATGGAGGATTAATTGTATTATCAATTAACATACTATGCAAAAGAGGAAACTATTATTTTTACAGCAGTATTTCTTTTTGTGTTTAATCATCAGGTAATTCAGTTAATTAATCTGTCCACGAAATGAAAATTGCAATTTTTATATATTTGATATATTTGTCCACATAATTATTATGTTGTCTATGTCACACACAAAAATAATTAAAACATTTGATATGTGTAATTGTTCCCAAAGATGTCACAAAAACATGCCATTGTGGAAAATTTGCCCAAATGCATTGTTTATGACATCAGGGAACCATGACACATTCCTGACTGTAGCTATACTAAGGCACTTCTAAATCCAATGGACCTGACTAATGTTACTGACTGTAAAACATAGAATGTTAAATTTAACCTTATTTGTGACCTTCACAATTGAAAGCCCTACATGTGTATTTGAATGCTAACAAATTTATGTGATTAAAGTGCATGTGAGAAATGACTATATTTCAGTCACAAAATATGAATAATACTTTTTTTACAGTGCCTATTTAAAACAAAATATCTTAAGTCAATGTCAACTTGTTGGTCATATTAGTTTTTTAGCAGTAAAATTATTAAAGCTGTATGCTATCTTACATTTAATACATTTGGATTTTGTTGGAGTAATCTTCCTTTGATAATATAGAAGGATCTGAGTGTTACCAATGAATTCTCTTTTGAAGTATTCCTTTTTATCCCCCGCTTTCACCGAAACGGGGGATATTCATTTTGGTTTGTCTGTCTGTATGTCTGTCTGTCTGACGCGCTTAGTTTCCGTACAATAACTGCAACAAATGTTAACCAATTTTCTTCAAACTTGGTAACAGGGTTAAATGCCTGAAGGGCTCGGCCAAGTTCGATGACCATTTTCAGCGGACTTTATTTAGCGGAGTTATGTCCCCTTGAATAACGAAAAAACATCATTATCTGCAGTTTCCGCTTAATAACTCTAGCAAATATTAGCCAAATTCCTTCAAACTTGATAACAATGTTTGTGTTCCTCTGTCTTTCCACCCATCTCGGGCACTCTTTGGTTTTCGTGTGATAATTGCTGTAGATATTGTGCAGATATTTCAACAAAACTCCATATGCACATCCGACTCATGTTAAGTTTGCCAACTGATGTGATTTGTTCATATTTACGGATAATTAATGAGGTTAGTAAATTCTGATGAATTAAACGATTAATTTCCACCGTAATACCCACATGTTCAATAAAAAGTCTAACTTCTGTATAAGTGTTTTTTTCTTCTTCGAGTTTCAAGCTATACATTATGTCTCAAAAGCACGATGCTCACATGTTTAAACCTAACCTCAATAATGTTTACCTACAATATGTCCTGCAAGCGGGGGATATTAATTCCATGAATTTGCTTGTTTTTAATTAAGTCAAATTAGCATAAAAAATCAACATTTAACAAGCTTTGTAGTGTGGAACTCTATTGTAAACGAGGTACATAACACATAAAGGTATGATACATCCTTAAGTCTCTATCTCCTCTATTAGCCTTGTCACAGTAAGGCAACATCCATCCTTTAATCTCCTTGTCACAGTAAGGTAACATCCAACCTTTAGTCTCCTTGTCACAGTAAGGTAACATCCATCTTTTAGTCTCCTTGTCACAGTAAGGCAACATCCATCATTTAGTGTCCTTGTCACAGTAAGGGAACATCCATCCTTTAGTCTCCTTGTCACAGTAAGGTAATATCCATCCTTTAGTGTCCTTGTCACAGTAAGGTAACATCCATCCTTTAGTCTCCTTGTCACAGTAAGGTAACATCCATCCTTTAGTCTCCTTGTCACAGTAAGGTAATATCCAACCTTTAGTGTCATTGTCACAGTAAAGTAACATCCATCTTTCAGTCTCCTTGTCACAGTAAGGCAACATCCATCCTTTAGTCTCCTTGTCACAGTAAGGTAACATCCATCCTTTAGTGTCCTTGTCACAGTAAGGTAGCGTGTATATGTTTGTACATGTAGTCCTTTAAGAACATTCCAGATGTCGAATTATTATCATTTTTTATAAAAATATTTTGTTTCAACAGACATTTTGCCACGAAGCATCGCGAGCAGTGTCGGAGGGTATTATCTCGCTCCAACCACCCAACTTACTGGTAAGTACTATGAAATATTTACATTTCTATTGTGAAAACTCCACTTTGACAAAGCAACATATACTCTTATTATTGCATACAGAAAGAAAGACAGTATTTTCATTAAGTAAACAGTGTGTTCAAAATGTAATTTATCAAGAGTTATGCCCCTTTGTACATTTTAGATACTGAATTTTTATATGTGGTGATAGCAAAACTTTGTCTCCTTATTTTTGTTTTCAGTTTCAAATTAATATTTGAAGGATGGTCAATTCCAGATTTACAGAATGTATATACTACATATATAGAAATTGTAAACATTAAGATATAGTTTATTTGTTCTTCGTGGATTTAAACCATTGTGAATGCATAGTTTAAAATGAGGAAGCTAGTATTTATAGAAATAAAATTATCCACAGTTTCTGGATACTGGTCAAAGTCTCTACTGCAGAATGTAGATTGTTTTCTCCTTATTTTCATGAAAGAAATCAGACGCACTATCTTGTTGAATCACTTTGGTTTTTGTTTGTTAACCTGAATCTTCAAAATATCATTTTGTCATGAATTGGGTCTGTAAGTGGCAATTTCCATATACACTTATCTACCGTGGTTTTTCGACCTCACTTTGGGAAAATATCACACTTTAAAAGGATAATTTTGAGAAAATAAAGTGATATTTGCAATAATTTTGGGAAAATACAGCAGAAAATATCGAAGGGAAGGGGCCTTCCAATTTCACATATAAGGAGCTAGCTTTTTCATGGATTTTTAATTAAGAGTGTTGAATTTTTGACTCTTTAGGTACCCCTATGCTGTCGTTGGGATCAACCTGACTAAAGCCATCTTTGACATGTTACAATCCGGAGCCCTACGCACACATTTCTACAACACATCCAAGGATAAACCATGCATTCACGATTATCATGAAGTATACTGTAAGTAAATAAGAACTGGGACCACTTATTTCCTGTTTTTTTCCTTTATTGGACTAAAAAGTAATTAGTCCATCAGAGAGTATTTATGACCTTAGTAGGCCTCTTGCCACATTACACTTTAGCATCCCTGTCCAACTGCACTGGATTTGCAGTACCCTCCCTTTAACTTCCGTTTTGATATAACTGTAGAACAACTGAGCCAGAACACTTCCGTCGACCAGGTAGCGCAGTCGAATAGGGTTTATAGCAGTCTAAAATCAGGGTTGGAATCCCAATCTAGTCCTGCTTTTTTTTACACTTAGAGCAATGTTTTTGATAATATTTTATTTATTTATTTACTTATAAATGAAGATGGTGGCCGGAGCAGGGTTTTTTCCCTACTTTTTTTTTAAGAAAGAAAGGATGGTGAGGGGGGGGGGGGGGGGGGGGGGGGGGGGGGTTAGTTTAAGAAATTACAAAAATCACCAAAATAGTTATTCAGACCAATTGTATTCATTTTCATTATATTTTTTATATCTGTCTATAGAATTACGATTTACGGTAGGTATGAAGGTGACGTTTACCAAAAGTGGATTTACTAGTGAGCTCACGGAATTAGGTTATCTAAGTCCGTGGTGCGATAAAGATTTTAGGGTCGAAGGTGAAAACTAGGGTCGGTCGAGTACCAGAAACATTGTTATTTTGCCTGACTTTCAACAGTATTTTATTATGGAAAGATAATTTAAACAATATGGTTGTTTTACAGTACTGTGAAATCAGATATTTTGTGGGGCCCAGATTTTATAGTTTCCCGGCAAAACGCCATTTCGTGGGTAAATATAAATTCGGGGATATCGATTACCCACTCAAACGGAGACTTGTTTTATGCCAAATTTGTAATTACTTTGTGGACCTATGAATTTGTGGATCCATGAAAATAACCCACAAAATCAACAAAAATGAAAACCACACAAAAATTAGTGAATTCACAGTATCAAATATGGAATGAAATGGTTATAAATGTGACCACTGACATCATATTAAAAGATTGGGATCTGGAAGTGTATTATTATGCAATGACATTCTTTTTATCTAACCAATTAAATCTAGAAGAGAAACTTGACAATAATGTTTAAAATAAGAAAAATCTGTCAGAACCCATAGAAAATACATCTGTAATTCCTGTTAAATAGTATTTTGAGGAATTTTCCAGTCTGAAACTGAATTAACATTAACAAAATATGTTCTTTCGTTGCAGGCTACATGTTCTTTGAGTTTGATAAGTTTTGGTTCGACTCTAAACCCAAAGACATTATGGAGTTTGGAAGACTGCAGGGAAAATTCAAGAAACTGATCCAAGATAGACTTAAGGATGACCCGTCCACAGTTCTAGTCGCTGATTTCCAGAAGGAGGAGTAGCTTGCATACAGCTGATTTAGTTTTATTAGGGTAGCATGTCTGGAAGTGCTTAAAATGAAGGCAATTGTTGGGTGTGAATGTCCTACACGTGTGTTCATTTACTGATTTGAAAAACTGGATTAAACTTGCAGAGACTCCCCATGTTCTGACATTCCTTATCCCCATTGGATATTGTCTGGTCATCTCTTCTTTTGAATTTCTATTACTCTTATGGCCAGACTAGAATTCCATTTAGGAATCCATCATCTGTGGTACGCAGAACTTCACTGGACATTCACTAGTGGACGTTGGATCTCATTTCCCCTTGTACTTGATTTGAAATATGTTAAGTGGAAGCAAAAAACATCTATCAACACCTGTATTTTACAGGTGTTTAGCCCAAGCTTAGTATTAAGGATGGATGCTACCTTTACACCATGGTTGAAAAACTAAGAAGAAAAACTGTTAGAAGTTTTTGAGGAAAAAATAACAAGCAACATTTTATATTACCAGTGATTTTTCAAACATTTTTTCAGAGTATTTTGCTCACCTTTGAGAAAAAACAGCAAAGTTGTTAGAAGTTTTTGAGGAAAAAATAACAAGCAACATTTTATATTACCAGTGATTTTTCAAACATTTTTTCAGAGTATTTTGCTCACCTTTGAGAAAAAAAAGAAGAAAACAGCAAAGCTTTTCATTTGGGAAATATGTTTACCGTATTTGTAATAGGACTCAACTGTCCAAACCTACCAGGGGAAGCAACTCTGAATCATCCTTGCTACTCATGTATGTAGTTTCATAAAATACAACCATAACAGCATTGTTAGACATCATCAATTATTTAATATAAAACTTTATTATTTTACAACAATTATACAAGTTATTTCAACTTATATTAACCACTCTTGTTGGTCCATATGTTAGTGTGCGTGGGATGGTCTTAATGTGGGAGGAAGCCAGAGTACCCGGGGAAAACCCTTGTAGTGTGTGGAGGGGGGGGGGGGGTTATAGGAAACTGGAGTACCTGGGGAAAATCCACGTGATGGCAGGTGCGTTATCCACTGCATCACCTAACTATTTAATTGCTAAACTCTAGTCATGTGTAGGAGTATGCATAATACTGAACAAGAAAAAGATTGACATATAATAATTAAAGCATAAATTATAAATTCCTTTATTTGGGGCTACATGTTTAGACTTTTGTTGAGTTTATAGCATGGCCTGTAGAACATATACATATGTACTATATGTATGTATTATTGGGAATAGTAAGTTTATCGGAAGACTTTTAATGTACAACTCTATAATAGTCAGAACATCATGATCTAAACTCTGGTAAATATATTTGAAATATTTGAAATTATGATGGTATACCACTTAGAATTGGGATTTGCAGCATAAATTTGCCATGAAAATCAAATGCTGACTTGGTATATCTATTTGACAGTCTTTTATGCTTTTACACTTTTAGTTTTAATCTACTACAAGAATTTGACTAGGAGTAAATTGGACAAATATCAACAGAAAACAGCATGCAACATTTTAACTGATTAATCAGTTATGAAATTTATCCATCAGTTAATTTGGGTGTACAATCGATTTATTTTTGATTATAATTAATTATCGGAACAACACTAACATGTATGTTTACCTAAGCAATTAGGTCGATTTGAAGATGATACTTGCATAAAAAGTGTTATAGGTATACAGCAGACTGAAGCTGACTATTCAGATCAAATTAGGAAGATCAAGCTGGAATTCTCCTTGTAAACGTGTGTCTGACAACCTTCAATATTCCCAAAATATTCACTAAATGTTAACATGATATGCTAGATTTTTGTCACCTCATGTTTTATAATGAGTTTGTTTTCACTTATTTTACTAGCATAAAGTGATAGACAGGAAACCCTGTCTATTCCAGCACTATGTTGGATCAAACAAATTGCTTGGATTAGACAAGGGGTCAGGATACACAAGTTTCATGTGTTATTTTTTTTATAAGAAATGAGAAAGCACTGGATGTTGATGTGACAGGATGTCAGAAAACCAAAAGTTGGATTAGACAGGTATCACTGCATACACTAGAATTTCCTCTTACTACACAACCAGCTGAGATTCCATCCTCGCTTTCGTTGTAGACTGGTTTACATAGCACAGCTGGTGAAAAGGTTATGAGTAAAGTTTTGATGTGCTTTGTCGCATTCATCAGACAAATGGCCGGTATGGCATGTATACATTAAGGTGTGGAATATGTACGAGTTGGCAACAATTATATCGCTATTAATTAACATAAACATTTTACTGGTCATGCTATATATACCTGTATTAAGCAATCTATACTTACCCACCTAAAAAAAAACTGAAATAAATTGCTGTTCTTGTTTAAAATGTCAATGTTTGTATACAATTTACTGTGATACATTCTTTTATATACCAGTAACTATTATTTCCTTGATGATCCATAAGTGAAAATAAATCCAATTGTACTAACAGTATAAATTGAATGTGTCAAATTTCATTATTTTCCATGAATAATTACAAAAATTTTACAATATCGGTATATCACATTATTTATAAAATACTAACTCTTTAAGTCTAGTCTTTCATCAATTTTGATAACCTGTTCTTTTATTTCGCTCGGGATTTTATAGAACATAGAACAGTGATAAACACAGAAAGTTTATAAATTGCTATGTAGTTCTGTATGATTTTAGTGTGTTGTAGACAGTCATGCTTTGTATTTCAGAGCTTTATCTCCTATTTTTGCCTTACAAAGGTTATGTACTTGACATAGTAATTCAACTTGCATCAATCATACATTTACATTTATTATATATCAATTTGTTTGGTATATTTACGGACATACAATCATGCCAAGACCTCATATTTTTCTTATCATTTCTTCTGCTTATTACTTATTATAAGAAAAAATTCTAACTTCCATATAGAATATTAAGTAGGAAAAAATGTAAAACAGTTGTAATTTGAATTAAAGAATTGTAACTGTGAGGGTAGATACATTTATGATGTAATTTATACTTGATTGCAGAAATGAGCGGAAACAAGCTGAACTTGATATTACTAAAAGAGGTTATGAGTTTACCATTATGAAAAAAGAAGTTGCAAAATCACAATTATTCATGAGTAAAAAGAAAGTATGTGTATGTTGGGGGGGGGGGGGGTTGCTTAACAACCCAGAATGCAAATGCATATCTTATAAAATAATTATTAAGAATAAAAGTTCATGTGAATTAGGTAAGTACATGTATAGAAAAATTGATATATAACAACAGACTTCAAAACTAGCCTTCACATGGCTCTTTCAGATTTATTTCAAAAGGACAACGTCATGACATCACAATTACATGTCATCACACTACAATAGTAACATGACGTCACAAAGTACAAAAGATTGGTGGACAAACTACTGTGGCCTGTTGAAACTAGGTTTTAATATTTTCATGAAATTATTTTCTTTCTTTTCTCTCAGAATAGTGACGGATGAGAGTTAAAACATAAAATGTATATAGACATTATCCAACAAGTGATGATTGGTTATCATGTTTATCTAAATCATGAGTTAGTTAATTTTCAAATTGTATAAGCCATGAGTGTTTTTTACAATTAACTAATGAGAGTTAGACAAACATGATAGCGAACCATCAGAAGTTTGGGGACCTTTTTCTCCCATAACATGCATATAGTATCTAGAAATCCATAGGTTTCTTTCGGAAACACACAATTCTTGTATCCAATCTGGGAAACAGTTGATAGAAATATGATTTCACAATTGAAGATTTGTCACGTGAATTCATAATTAAAAGATAAACCAATGAAATCATGTTCAGGGTGTTACCCATTAGTAGGTTTACTAAGTCCTAGCAGGTTATACAGGGAGTCGGGAGTGAGGAGGCATACAGTGGGTTGGGAGAGAAAATGAATTGTTCATGTAATAGAACTTCAAATTGTTACAATTACACTCATTTGATGTTGTATGAAATTACCATTGTTCTTCCTTAAAGTGTTATTTGATTATACTTTATTATTAAAACAAAAAAAAGTAAAAAAACTTGATAGTCTCTTTTTTTTAATTACTATGTTGAATCCTAAATGAATTTTATATCATATGCTACAAAACAAAATAAAAATGGTAATAGAAAAAAAATCAACGATAAAATTGGTTATAAAATTATCATAATTGTAAAATTATATGAATTAATTATTGTGTTGCATGGCCATTAAATATACCCACAAAATAACAAGAAGCCTAAACAACCATAATGGTCACATGGTTAACAAACACTAAAGGAGCAAGCTTTCTCCTAATTTATGATACTACCTACCATAATTTTTTAAATGACGAACTGCAGCAATTTTGGGTTTGGTATTAACGCATACAACAACACACTTAAGACTTGTTTGGTTGTTTCAAATTTCTGAAAGTTTGACCAATAACATTCAAAAAATTTTTTTGGAGTCAAATCAAGAAGGCAGCAATTATTGATGTTTGTAACGACTTTAAACTAGAAGCATGTTTTTGTCCCTTATTCCTACAAAGATTCAGCAAAATAGGTAAAAGATATCTGAAGTTTATGTCAGATACATTTTCAATGTGGTGACTGTGTTGGATGGAGGCCATTTTGGGTGTCACCATAAGTAACATGTTAGGAGCATATACTATTGATTTGTTAAAGTTTCAAGGGGAAAAAATCAAGTTGAGTTAAAGTTGAAAATAAATTTTCGTGATGGCGGTAGCCATCTTGAATGTCAGATCGACTCATAACCTTCCAACATTCCTTCAAAATTTCAACAACATTCCTCATATAGACATTGAATTTAATTCCTGATTAAACTTTAATCAACTTCATTTTTTTTTTAAATAGCCTGAACTATACACTCATTAAAATAAGTTTAAGTAAACACGGCAAAATTGTTCTTTCCTTTAATTTGAAAATATATTATTTGGACATTGATGTAGCAGCCATCTTGGTTTTCAGATTGAGTCTGAACAATTCCATAAGTCATGACAAACTGACATCTACATAGCCGCCATGGCTCATACGTAAGTCCGTGTGCACACCAAGTCTTCAATTTTGTTATAGCTTGTTCAAGGGGTTCAGAGAGCGAAAGTCAGGGTAACCCCTGGATATCGAGGATGTTTTTCAGTAAAAATGTAAAGTGATTAAAATATTGGAAAAAACCAGCGACACAATTAGAGTTCAACGTGATACGAAAATACTGTACGATGAGACACCCAAAAAATATGTCTTCTGTGTCTTTGTCGACACCGACCAGGTTAATGTAGTTCAAATCAAAGTCGTATCGCGTTCGAAAATAAAGAACCGAGGTCAGTCACAATTAACAAAAAGCATTGATATCAAGAACGTCAATATTCATGACACAGAAGGAAATACATATATATGTAGAATATTTCCCAATTAGATCTTGATGGCGACCATACTGTTTGCTCATAGTCGCCAATCAATCTACATGTAACCTCTATATATATATAGAAGGTTAAACCTGGTGCCCATGAAGGGTTCGTGTTTGTGGCACTGCATGCAACACCTCTTATACAAATA